TGTTGGTCTCATTGTCCAGTTTTTAGTGCTCAGGCTGGCCTACTACACTATTGTTTCCACCTCTCTACCTTTTTCAGCAGGATTCTATTCAATTATTTTTGCTACATCTTACACAATGATTGTTGTTTATAGCTTCACGGCACCATAATTCAGATTTGTTTAAAAGTTGCGGTTGTGATGAAACTTTTGGTGTTACAGAGGCAGGAGGGAAGGTATTTTGCAGGTAAGTATGTGTTACACCTTTCGAAAGTGCTCAGGTTATAGGGTATTGTATTTTTTTTATACTCAAGAGTCAGTAGCCCATCTTTATCCACATCTAAAATAGCCAGGGAGTCACACAACCTGCAAAATTAGTGGGCACTTATGAAGAACAGAATAAGACCCAAGCAGGTCCCAAGGATAGGCTCAACAATGAGAGGACAGTACAATGGGAATATCAAAACATAAATAAATAAATAAGAACAAAAACATAGAATATTCCTATCCTGGCTGAAGCTGAGACATATAGTGATACAGGTAATTCTATTTCCAACTTCTCTAATACCAAGAAAGGGCCTGAACACTAAAGCATCATCACCTACCAGATGGCACCTCTGTCCACTTCCAAAGGGGTGATACTCTCTCACAAAGCTCCAGCACAAAAGATGGAATTTATGTATATGTGAATTGCAGAAGTCCCCAAGTTTTATTTTTAATATTAAACACATACACATATTTAATCAAAAGCTTTTCAACCTCAGACACCTAAAGTTGTATACTATACAGGGGTGTCGAGAGATGTAGAACAACTTATTACCAAGGGCAAATGCACAGATTAAAGAACTTGCGAGAGTCCTAGTTGGACAAAGTGATATGAATACAGAATTTCAATATATTAAAACAGACTATTTTATTATGGTAGCTGTCTTGTTTGGTTTGAAGTCAAAAGTATTTACAATCCGAGACACCCTGAAAAAATATTTAATAATTGGTATTGGTCAGAAAGGTTCCATTAAACAAAACAGACAACATTAGACCAGTTTTAAATCTCACTGAGGACAATGTCTAGAGTACAAATGAGAGACATAAAAAAAAAAAGATAAAAAACTTCAAAAAGGACCTGAAATTAGGAATCACATTGACCTCTATGGCAACTGAAATTCAGTAAGAGTGCAGCTCTGAAGCCTGCAATACAAGCAGACAAGGCCCAATTATGAAAGAAGTACAAAAAAATGAGGCAAGCTGTGAACAAGTTGGAGGAACACAATGAACTAAATTCTACAGAAACCAAGTCCAAGATATAAAACAACAAGGTTAGTATACTGCCAAGGAAAAATGTTTGCAAGAATGTGATCATATTCAAGTTACCTAAGAAGAGAAGCCAGATTCACTAACATAGGGCCAAATAACAGACAGAGAAATCAGAGTTTATGTAAGATCCTTAATGCATTTGTAATAAGTCGCATGGAATGTAGGAGAGTGGAGAATTATGGGTAAGTGACATATGCTCTGCAATGCATAAAGGACATTTGGAAATTTTGAGTCACATGTTTTGTTATGTTCAAACAAACTCAAACTCAACTAAGAAAGACTTTTAGTATTTCAAAAATAAGTTCCTGTTTCAAATTCATTTTAATTTTAAAATTGTAAAATGTAATTGTGGGCCAAACATTATAAGGAGTTAAGTAACAAGAGTATGGTTTCTTATATTTGCTTTTTTTCGTACTTCTTGTATAATGGTTGAAGTTTCTCCTTCACCTGGGTTTGATTTCTTTATCTATATGATATTCTATTCTATATGACATTCTTAATTGAAACAACTTTTCATTATTTTAGTTGTTTTTTCTTTTTATTATTTTAGTTTATTCAAAATATTTTCCTTGCATAGCAAAGAGCTCTTTACCCATTTTTGATTACCACCATAAAGAATGCTTAAATTTTCATGCTATTTACTTTGTAAAGAGTCACTTGTTTGTATAAGAAGTAAGAAACAAAAACAGATATATACTAGTTTTCTGAATAGTAAGAACAAATGTTGAGTTTTGTTATTCAATTTTTAATGCTTTGGTTTGATTGAACATTCAAAATCTTATGTTTGTATGTCACTAATAATAAAGGATTTAGAAGGTGATGTTTAGATACAGTCTTATCTTTATTAGCTTTTAGAAAAACCTCTAAGTAGATTGAAATAAATTGAAAGCCATCTAAGAACCCCTCGACGTGGATTCCTGTACATGGCGAAGGGACCTCCCAGGGAAGGTTCT